TTCGATTGAGACATCGAGATAATAGGCGTTAAAATCGTATAACCTTCGAGGCGTAATGGAAACCGAATTACGTAATTACACGGCTGCACAACTCATAATTAGCGCGTGAAAATATCCTCGTGGAATTTCCTCGTGGAAGAAAGTGGAATTTTCCGCTAACAATCACGAATGTTTTAGAATGAATTAAAATCTATCGAGTGATTATGTTCTCTTTTTTGTTTACTTTCCGAGGAAAAGTCTTTCAGATCGGATAAAAAGATGGAATGAAAAATTAGAAATTGTATAATTACTTTCTAGCGAAAAAGAAAGAGATGTCTGATAATTCAGATTTAGATGAAAAAGATTTTTTTTTTTTTATATTACACCAATGAAAATGATAGTTTTCTTCGATCTATTCTAAACTTATTGTAAATTTCTTTGAAATAAAATTATTTCTATAGAGGAAAAGATATTATTTTTGTATCAACTATCAGATGTGTTTTAACTTTTATTTATATTTGGCAAATCGATCTTTAATAAAAAATAGAAAATCTAATATAACATTTGAGATTTTCTTTTTGTGATATGTTTGTGATATTTCGAAATTTTTTTTAAATAAGAGATTCAAGTAAAAAGATATTCGTGTAGCATAAATTGAAACGATTTTCGAAATCGATCACGGTCTCGTGATTACAATAAAATTTAAAAAACATTAAAAATAGAACTTTCATACAATGCTGGCATTACTAATATGAGCAAATTTAAATTTTAATACACCAGATTCGAATTCTTCATAAGTATTTCGAAAAAAAAGAAATGGTTTCAAATAGACTCGAATGTAAATATGTTTTATATGAATAATTCCAAAAATAAAAAAATACTATTTCCAAGTAAAATTCGAGTTAATAATTTTTTGTATAGTAAACGATGTTTAATTTTATAATAAACATAGTAAAAAACGTTTACTATGAAATGTAGAGATACTATCACGCTGTTTCTCAAATAATCCAAGATAAAATAAAAACGGTTTACCATTCCATGCAGGATTTTTTTTTTTTTTTGAAAACGTTTCCTCGAAAAACTAACATAATAGATTGGTAGAAATGCAATTGCGAATAACTTCCCATATTTGCAACAAGATAGTACCTATTCGTGTCTCTAGATATCCAGTGAATAATTGTTTTCTAATTTTGGTAATATTGTTACAATCACAAGAGAAATCAGAAAAGGTAGAACAATTGCCTGTCTCCTTTATTCAAATTTTTTAATTTAAAAGAAAATATTATTTCACGCAAAATATTATAAAATATTTCTTCTATTTCTTGTAAATTTTTACTATCTGATTACCAAAAAAAAAATATAAAGTTTATTCCGAATTTGAAATTTAAACTATGAAATCCGATCCAACAATATCATAGGGAATAAACTATTCTACTCTAATCATATTTACTGTGATTAAATCTTTTTTTGAATCCCAATTCGAGTCTGGAATATCAACGCATTCCTAATAAATATTCAATTTTTTTTTTCTAAAATACCTTATGCGAGGTAAAGCAGAACATTCTAGCATAAGATAAAGTCGAATATCTACATATATGCATATATAATAATACTTGGTTAATTGTTTCACTTTCTGCATATATAATATAACGATTCGAAAAAATTCGAAATTATTATAAAAATAATGGCATGTTTCGATTTTATATAGATATAGATTTTATTTATATATTTTTTTTGAAATCATTAGATTATGAAACGATATTTTCTAAAGAATTTGATTTGAAAAGTTGTACATCCTTTATCTATAATAATAACAAAATATAATATAATAGTAGGGGAAAATAAAAATCTGAAATTTATCATTTTGAAGTTTAAGCAAACAAATTGAACATGTCAGTTTATATATCAACTACTCGTTCAGCATGTCCAGTTGCGTGATATAAATTGCCTTGTCACAATTACATTGTCAGTTTTTTGTTAGTTTCATCAATCAAACGAGAAATTGATTGAAAAAAAGAAAAAAAAAAGAAACAGAAAAAAAAATAAAATAAACGATAAACAACTTTCACTTTAACAATATAATTGTCAAAAACAGTGTGTCATCAAAAAAAATCAAGGAATACTTTAAATAGAAATTAATGAATTTTTTTTTAAATTTTAAGTGACTACTGACAAATGATTAAAGAAACTCTGTAATAATATTTCTTCTATTTTATACCGATGTAAAAATAAATTTTCATATATAATTATTTATAAATGTTGAATGAACATTCTCATAAAATGATCACTACTGGAATTGAAATTTGATGAGACTACTAGAATTTTAAATTATAATTTATAATATTTCATAACATCTCATATTTTATTAATTGCTCTAAAGAAATTCTTTATCAAAAGTCATGAATTGCATTAATAAGAAATAGAAAGAAATAAGATTATGAGATAAGTACTCTAATACAACATCACATATTTGGAAGAATATTGTTTGCAGAAAACAACAATTTAATAGTAAACTAGTTAGATATATAGTTTTAGGTGCATAAAGGCTATCTAAAGAAGTTTATGACATGCAACCGGAAGACGGTTTGTGGCACGTTGCATGCAAGTTGTATTTACCGAGTTTCACGTAAACTTTTACTATAAAATCGCCCATCTACGTAACTTTGTTTCAATGGAGGAATATCCAACATGAAATTAAGAACAGAATATTAACTATAAATATCTTCAACTGTGATATATTATATTTTGTTTATTTTATTCATTTTCATTATTTTTCTTTTGATAAAATAAACAAAAGTTAAATTTTTTTTTTATATCTAATTTTATATTTGCATTTCATATTTATATATCATCTCAATATTTTACATCTCAAAAACTAATGTATTTAAAGGATTTCATATCTCAGCGTTTCATCACAAATTTTTTATCTTTATGATAATATTGTTATAGAGAGATTTAAAAATATGTATCATGTGTAGAAGAAATAAAATAAGAGAAAGACATTTATATGTTAAGTAAATATGTAAGTTACGCATATTTTATTGCACGGCAGTAGAATACTTCGTTTATGATCAGACAACTCTCACTTCTCTTATCAGATCAAACTAAGAGGAAGAGAATATTAACTAACATAAGAATCTGAAAACAAATAACTGAAAAATCGATAAGATATTAAATTATCATAATTATTAAAACGTAATGTACAATAAAAATTTTAATATGATATAAATAATACCTCCCTTTTAATTTATATTTCGAATATACCATTTATTATATAAAGATACATTAGAATAAATTTTAATATTATTTATGCTATAATTTTCCATTTCAAAAATGGTTTTATAGATTTTTATATCTTTTACTAGTTTCTTAAAGTATATTTAAATTTCAGAAACATGAAGAAAGAACGAAACGAATGGTGGATTGCAACAATTTTACTTGCCGCATTATTGATAATAAAAGAAGTGAATATAATAAATGGACAGAATATAACATCTGAGGATAAACTATCTACGAAAAAAGCAGGTATTTTACATAATCTTTTATATCTTTACGACCATTATCATTATTAATGATTTTAATGATTTGAAATTATATGATATTCTAATTATATGCTATACAATAAATATCAAGTAAACTTATATTTCTACAGCAAAATTTATAATGAAACAAATTGTTATTATCATTTTTTAAATATTTTTGAACGCGATCAAGAATAATTGTAGCATAAAAGGAATGTCTACAATTGCAACAATTGCAAGAAAAAAAACTGAACAAAGTTTGCATGTAATTCGTGATACCAAGTGTTTTCTATCATGCATTATTTATACAGTTTGTAGCAAGAATAAGACCAGTAAATACAAAAAATAAAAAATCTTTGAGATTTGTATTTGAAAATTTGTATTTGATTTTAAACAAAGTACTCACCATATTAACATAACAAATATAAAAGAATTAGATTTTGAATATAATAGTCACAATTGTGGAATAGATGCAATTAAATTGTGAACGATACAGCAAAAATCTTAGAACAATTTTATCAGCTTATTAAGCTTATTGTTCACTTCAAATTTTCAATTACTTGAAAAAATCAAAGCACCACATCCTGATAACAACATTAAAAGAAATAAATTATGAAAAGTTGCTCAAAAAAATTTTTTGTTTTTTAAAAAAATAATTCTATATATTTGTAATATGTTATAGCATATATGATCCAGAAAGAATAATTAATGCAATCCAATTACATGCTACTCTATTTCGTTAAAAATTACCATTCACAATCCATTAATAATACGCTTAAACATCCTTTAAAATATTAAACGAAGTTTTTATTTTTTCGCGATTTTATCTGATTGATTAAAAAAATCGATCGAGATAAGTGACAGGAACAGAAGGAAGAGAGAAAAAGAAAAACGATACGCTAGTTACACGTTTCTTCAAGGTGATGAATGTTTTGCTCGTACATCGTTTCTGCTTTCTCGAATGGCAATTAAAGCGTTAATAATCAAGGCAAGGGAACACAGAGCAAAAAAAAAAAAAAAAAAAAAAA